CCGAGGAAAGCATCACCTACTGAACCCTCCAGACTATTGGTTCCCACCACCCACTGAGCCAGGGAGTCACTCTGATGGATGACGTTGTCTGTCATCTCCCATAATAGGCCATATGCCCCTCACACATCACAGACAGAGTGGGCCCCCCTAAGCGTCGTGCAGGCACTCCAAATGATCAACCGTCATCTGTTTAGCACTTCTTAAAGGTGCTCACCCAGACAAAAAGTAAGAATAAAACACATTAAAAACAGCCAGAGCAAAGACATACATAAACTGATTGTGTGTTGTCAGATTTGCTGTGCACTCAAGCAAACCATGACTGTGCAGACTGTTTCGGTGTCGCTGAATCGTCGGACTTTCACCGACTCGTCAGGAGGTTGAACCTGGACAGCCAGTCTGCCCAGGATGCATTTGACTGACTGATGGATAAGGACTCACCACATCGCCCACGACCCCCAGAGTTAGCGACACCCATCCCTGAGAGAGAAAAATGGTGGACTTTACTCACACCAACCCTGCAATCCTACTAGCATACTGTTCGTCCAAACCCATAACCAGAACAGAAGTAAGTCTGAGAAACTACCGTCTTCAACCAAATAGAACGCCCGGTCATTATAGCTGATACGGCAACAGGTACCGGAAGTTCTATTCGGGTGAAGAACTTCAAGGCAGTCTGACACAGTCAGAAAACCCACTCTACACACCCACTCAGCTATGGACACCCAATGGCATGACCGCTACCGTATTCGCCCGAATAGAACGCCCGGTCATGATCGCTGCATCTGGACTGAAAGTTGCCGTAAATACAGCTATAATGACCGGGCGTTCTATTCGGGTGAAAACGGTAGTACGGTCCCGATCCTAGCCGCATCGATCCGCCTGAATGGACAGCTTAGCAAGGCCATGCTGTGTGTTGTCAGATTCACTATGTACTCAGACTGTTTCGTGTGTGTGTGTAAAAAATCAGAAAGAGGAAAGACATACAAATGTCATAAACTGATTGTGTGTGTGTGTGTGTGTGTTTGAAAAAGCACCCCAAATTCTCTCTCCCTCATTCCCTCCACAAATCATAATGTGTGTGTGTGTGTGTGTGTGTGTCCAATATATCCCACGGCGTACTCGCCGTGCACCCCATGAAACCCATGGTACACCCCGCCCTGCCAACCAAACCAACACTGCATGCTGCCACTCTGCGAACTCACTGCAGCTACTCGTACAAACGTGGTTATCCGTGACCAGCTTTTCCCAAGTGCCAAAAACGTGCAAGCACACCAGCAGGCAAAGCCCCAAAAAGATGCCAAGACCAGGCAGACAAGAAAAGCATCAGGGCATGCCAAAACCAAACAAGCAAAAAGACATCAAGGCACAGGCTGGAGGGCACGGGGGAGGCAGGAGGCAGACAACAAGCACACAAAACCAGCACACAAACACACCAAGGCAGGCAAACCGAAAAAAATACAGGTCCCAAGCAAATCGAAAGACCGAAAAAAATAAATAAAAACAGATGATGATGAGATTGTTTCGTCGGAGTTGCACCGACTCATCAGGACGCTGAACCCTCGACAATCTGCGGAACCCCCGTATTTGATGGTTTGGGTCATGAACCCTTTGACCCATGTTGAAGGCAGACTGTCCCCAAGCGGGACATAGCAGCGGGCAGCAACTCTGTGGAGCACCAGGCAACACAGTAGAGGCAGCCCAACTGCTTATCACCAAAGACGACTGCAAGGAATGACAGGGCAAGCGGACGAGCAGCTGGGCAACCGTGCAGTGAAGCGCAAGGCAACATCAGCAAGGCGACCAGACTACAAGGCATGCAAGCAAGTAAAGGACGTGGAAGGCCAACAGGGCAAACAGACGAGCAGCTCGGCAACCGTGCAGTGAAGCACAAGGCAACACCAACAAGGCAACCAAACTACAAGGCATGCACGCAAAGGACACTGAAGGCCGACATGGCACACCGACAAGCAGCTCAGCAACTGTGCAGCGAAGCGTGAGGCACCACCACAAGGCTACCAAGCCGCAAGTTACGCGAGCAAAAGACACGGGAGGCACGACCCGCGGGTAGCCGGCAAGGCAGCAGAGCAGCAAGGACGACCTGGAAAGCAAGCGGCACGGGCAGCAAGACCGTGGCAGAGCGCAGACAAGACAGTCTACACATCCAACACGGAGCAAAGCAGCACATAACCTACTCAAATCACGATAGAACCCCGCAGACTGTTGGTTCCCACCACCCGCTGAGCCAGGGGGACACTCCGACGACCATCCGTCATCACCGACAGGCAACACAGACATCCCGAACCGAGCGGCCCCCCTAAGAGTGCAGTTGGCACTCCAAACGAGGAACCACCGACTGTTTGGCACTGCTAGAGGGTGCTCGGCTAGAGACACAAAAAGCACTTAGAAAAAATAGGAGAAAGAGGAAAAACAAGCATACCTAAAACTGATTGTGTGTGTGTGTGTGTGTGTGTGTGTGTGTGTGTTATAAGCTTCCCCCACAACAACCCCTATTCCAACCAGATGAGTAGAACCGGACTGAGTCCGCCCAACACTTAAAAAAAAATTCTTTAACAGGCAGCACGAATCATAATTGAACCATTTTGAACCATGTTTAGCTAGGGTTTCTTTGGGGCGACAGCTCCTCTTTCACTTTGCCTCGCACGTACAAGGCTGCCCACGTTGATGGTGGTTGAGCGGCAGCTGCCCACATCCCCGTGTGCCTCAACGGCCCACTTGCACGTTATAATAAGAGGCAGTGTAAAGGGGAAGGTATGCTCCTGTGCACTTCAGTTCAGATCTTCATACTACTGTTCATTTCACTTCAGATCTCCAGCTGTTCATTTCCCTTCAGATCTMCAGCTGTTCATTTCACTTCAGGTCTTCAGCATATGCTTAGTCTTTGTGTCTGTCGTTCGTCTTCATACTCCTGTTCATTTCTCTTCAAATCTTYAACTTATACTTTGTCTGTACTCTTACTGATGCTCATTCGTATGTATTTCCTAGTTGCACATAAGGAGAGGGCGGAGGGAAAGGGACAGGAGGTAAGTCTGTCARGACRTGAGGTAGGGGGAAAGCAGAGTGCAAGGGTAGGGCAGGCGAGAGGTATATGATGGGCTTCACAGAATTCTAAACACTCACCGCTGGAATAGCACATGAGGTTCATTGGTGTTTGGGTTGCACAAGATTTTGAGTCAAGGAGCAGTTATTGCCTATGGTAAGTGACCATCCCTACAGACCGGACAGGACTGGTTCGGGTGTGGACTGTGGAAGCACCGCATCCAGTTTTCACAGTCACACTTGCTGCATCGAATGCCACGGCGCAGACAGATGTCACAGGCAACGTGGCTCCTACATGCTAGGAACACGGAGGCACGTCGACCACAATTATAGAGGCACTGCCGTTCTAGCCCCTGTCTACAAATTGGACATGACATGTCAGGGTGCCGTACATGAGTACAGTGCTGACTGTYGTCGTAGGTRTGAAAGCAGAAACTCGCATGGACTATTCCTTCATAATCCTCACGGCACAAAGCATGTGAACCACATGCTAGTTGATTCTCCGGCGGGTCATCACATAGCGGCATAGAGCATGTT